ATCAAGAGTAACATGGGTAATTTAAATATATACATATTGTAGCAGTACCTACACTCCACAATTTATCCAGGTGTTCCACAAGGCCCTTTAAAGAGGTTAAGAAGTGAAAATACCCATAGTCCTAAACATCCTGAAGGCTTTTTTGATCAACTGAGAGCAAACCAAACAATATTCTTCTTTATTCTACATAACCACTTCATAATTATTTTTTTCAGGCATCTCACTACAGAGTACTTTTTGGTGCAAGGATTCCTTTAGAGTCTAACTTTCATCATTACTAATGATTTTGAAACTCACATCCAGCAGTGAATTTTCCAAAGACAGCCAATAATAAATGAAACAATAAAACAATATTACATCAAGCACAACGACAGGACAGAATCAATCTGTAAAGAGTGCAGAGCACAGCTTGATTTGGCAAGTGAAGGGCAAAGTGTGAATATAAAAATAAGTGCTTTGGAATAATTGCCCACTTTTCCTGGAAGGCATCTTACTTTCCATCCTTTTTTTAGAACAATAGTATTATGATTTGCTGTGCTTTTTTTTTTTTTTTGGTGGTGGTAGTGTTTTTTGGGGGAAAGGAGAGGGTGGGGTGTGGCTAGAAGGTGTTTTTTTGTTTTTTTTTGTTTTTTTAAAGAGAAAAGGACTGGGTTAGAACTGGTTTTCAATATTAAGTATGTCACTAAACAAGCTTTTGAAAATTACCAATTCACAGTACAGCTGTAAAAGCCATATACTTTTCTATAAATGAAAAAAAAAATCAGATTCATTAACTATGTGATAATTTGTTCTAAAGCTGAAAGATAACTACACTTTGAGAAAGAGAACATATGCTAAATATACATTGTACTAACATAATGAGAAGTCATGAAAAAGACCTTGTGAAAGACCTTAGCCATTTACACAGCACTAACTTCTCTAGCATGGAAGCTCATGGATTTAAAAGAAAACTTAAAAACGTTAGGAATGCACATATTTCTCTCTCTTGAGATGTCTTACAAATTTGGGCATACTTTATAAGCTGATGAAATTTTTAATACCTTCACAAAAACAAGAGCAAAATACAGCATTTTAAAAGTTTATGCAAAGTAATAAATAAATCTCGCAGCATCAAAAGCCCCATGAATTACTTGGAAATATGATACTGGCAAACTCATTAAACAAGCACGTTCAGAACTATTAATTTATGCAGTGTTGCCTTATATAGTCATTAAGGCCAGCAAACAGATGATACAGAGCAAGTGGAATTGTTGCCAGTTACTTTAGACTGGAAAATATGCGGACAAAATCTCCGGCTAGCTGCCAACTAATTCCTCATCCCTGCTAACAGAAAAACTGAAGAAAAGCTTTTCTTGCCTGCAGCCACTTGCTCTCTAGTAAGGTGACAGAATTTGGGTACTGCTATAATAAGCCCTATTTTACATTTTTCTACAGAAGTCAGAAAAACAAATACCAAGAAAGTACACTGGAGGGTGGAAAGAAATCTGCTTGGGAAAAAAACCTGAAGAGCTGTGTATAACCTAAAACCATGGAATAAGTTGCTTCCAGATACATTTTCTGTACTTTAGGTTTGCTCGAAACTTGACCACCAAGCTTAGTTTTTAAACAGAAGTAGGGTGAAAATACTTCCAATAATTTTGTAACTTTTTTTTTTGGGGGGGGGGCGGGGGGGGGGGGGTGCTTTTTAATTTAATAGTTTAGTCTATTTCTCATCCTTTTTTGTACCACTAAGTCAACCAGACCCGTATTAAGATGGCACAGGGGTAGGACTAAAACCGAAATTACTCTGGACAAAGTTTTTCCCGAAGTCACTTGTTCAGCAAGCTACTGACTACAAATGAGAGGTGTTTCATTTGCTATACTTTCAGTTTACTAGCTAAGTTGCAGGTTGATTGAGATGAGCACTTCACAGTTGTGTAGACCTTAGAATGGGTGAGGGATGGAAACATTTACTGCAGCTAAAATGCAACTGGAGAGGTCCTGAAAGTACCAAGAATGAAAGGTTAGGACAAAAGCTATTGGAGGATGATGCTGAGAGGGGGAAACAGAGGAAATATTTGGGACAACAAGCACGCCAGTTGTTGGTCTCTTCCTTTAGGGCTATGCTACTGTGTGAGTTTTCCTACCTCTCCCCTAGAAAGCAATAAAGAAGCAATAGCTGCAGGGCATACTCTAAGGAAGCAGTCCAGACATAATACATAATAATATTGTCATGGCTCAGGCACGGAGTGTGCCAGGAGAAAGGCTTCTGTCTGCAGGAGGAGCACATGCTGGCTTCCATCTTGGTGAAGTCAAAACAGAACAGAGAGATGACACAAGCCACACTGACAACATTAAGAACAGGTCATGGATCATTCTTAACCCCATAGATAAGAAATAAAGCCTGTGAACACACAGCTAAACTCTTCTCCCTGCTCCCCCAGAAAAGATTGTTTGTATTTAACTTGCCCATTGCATAGTCCCTGTAACAAACTGTGTGCTGTACTGAGTCTGGAAGTTGTTTGGGAGAGCACTAAACAGCAAAATAAAAGCAGGGAGCAGCGAAATAAGAGCAGGGGAATAAAAATGCTAAGGACTACAAAGTGCAGACTGTTGTAATGCATTGTTCAAATCCTTTTCATGGCCCTGCTTATTTTGCCAATGTAAACATGAACATTAACAGATGCCCTAAACCCATACTGCTCATGTCAGAGGATAAAAATGAGACAAAACTAAGCAGACATCTCCCTAATGTTTAGACCCACTTCAAAGAAACGTGTGGAAATTGAAATTTGGTGCCCAATTCTCTCCAAATAAGAGCAACGATGTTTTTATCAGTTTGGCATGAAGTACTTCACTTCTACGAAAGAGCTCACTAAATTATCTGCAAACCACTTCCTATCTCATACACGTTTTACTGAGACTTCAGTCTATATTCCCCCTACCCAAGCAAACATGGTTTCGCTACAGAGATGAAACAAGCCACATGAAAGAAGAAACCAGCACTAGAAAGGTTTTGTTATACCATACCTGAACACTCTCAGAAGCCCATCTTTCCATTAAGTCAGCAAAAAGTTACCAGAGGACTTTTGCTCAAAATAATTGTTGAAAGAATGGGATGAAAGCATGATTTCTGATGTTATTCAAGTAAAGAATACACGCACATCCCTTAACACCTTCAAAACTAGATCAACGTTTCAAAGTTGCAGACTGATGAGGAAACCAAGGTGATCAGTCTGAGACTGTTTCAAAGTGCCTAAACCCATATACTTGCAATGTATGACCTGGCATAGTCTGAAATTGTTAAATGTTGACATGATTTTTACAGTGTAATTAGAACATATCTGAGACACATGGAATGTATACAATGGAATGTATACTTCTGAATCATAGATGGAAACAATTCTTTTCTTTAAAGAAGTCTGCATATAATAAGAATTTCCATTATGTTCCTAATTGCTGTTAACCCCTCTTACTGGTACCTGGGTTTAGCCCTGTTTAACATTCTCATTAGCAACCTGGATAATGGGGCAGAGTGTATGCTCAACAAGTTTTGCAGATGACACAAAACTGGGGGAGTGGCGGATACACCAGAATGTTGTGTTGCTACCCAGAGGGTATTTGATGGGCTGGAGAAACAGGCTGACAGGAATCTCATGAAGTTCAAAAGGAAAAGTACAAAGTCCGGAACCTGGGGAGCAACAGCCCTATGCACCCTGCTGGGGACCACAAAAGCAGCCTGGCAGAAAAGGACCTGCGGTTCCTGTTGGACACAGGGTGGACACCATGCCCTTGCAACAAAGAAGGCTAACGGTATTCTGGGCTGCATTAGGCAAAGTATTGCCAACAGGCTGGGGGACAACATCCTTATCAGAACCTTGTGAAGTGTTAAGGGTTATACGTATGTGTAAGTCCTAATGGACGCAAATCCAATCTGTTCTTAAAAGACATCAGAGATTCAAAATGTCTCTAGGCAGCCTACTGCAGTCCCTCACTAGCACTACCACTCAGGCTTTCCCTTATTCCACTTGTCCATCCTGAATCTTCCTTGCTGCGATTATTTGTTATCCTATCTGCCATGGATATGCAGAAAACATTGTGTGCTGCTTTTCTGTAACAGCCCTTCACATCTTTCAAGAATATGTTCTCCTCAGTCTTCTCTAAACTAAACAATTCCCATTCTTTTGGTCTGTCCTTGACGATCAACTTAATTCTCACCTCCCTACTTTGGATACTCTCCAGTTGGTTAATATCTTTGCTGAAATGCCATACTTGAAACAGAACGTGTCTTGCAGGCTCTCCTCTTGTTTACACATCCTGGTCTAGCTATGGCATTTTATAACTAGCAAGACACCGTTGGCTCAGCCTTGGCTATTATTCCTGCTCAAACAGGCACTTTGGCCCAGCACTTCTTCCAACTGAATTACGTGACGTATTCTCCCCCTCCAACTTCTGCTACTGTCACAATTGACTTGAATGCCAATTCCATCTCTGGGCTTCACCTGTTTTCATACTTTGGTCTCTGGTAAATGTAATGGAAATTACCTGCCTGCTATCTAAGACAAAAACTTTAATCAGTAGAGTAGGTAATCTCAATACATCCACTCTGACTTTAATTTGTGGTGAGTAGTGCTGTCACAGTTTTCCAAACAACTGCACAGATCTTGTGGAATTTTAACACAGACCATGCTACCTAGCAGACTGTCAGGGGGAACAGCATCAAAAGCTTTCTTACAAATCACCTAGACAGTACCTATTGCTCTTCTCTTAATCATAAGTCTTGTAAGGAAAATTTGACAGCTCTGACAACACACTTCATAATTCAAAGTAATTATTATTCACCTTGTTTTCTTCTAGCATTCATAAAATGTGTTCCACTATTTTTCTGAGAAATTAAGCTCAACCAAATAATAGTGATTTCCCAAGTTATTTCCTTTTGCTGCTTAATTCTTACTCAATCATTTAGTGACTATTATCATCCACAATCTAAAACAACTAGAAACAGAGATAATAGTACTTACAGGTTTCCTAAGGAAAAAAAGTGATAGTGCTCCAATTAGAGGCATGTCTCCAATCAGTGGTTCCAGGATAACTCTCATAGTACCATGGATCTAGAGAAGGAGAGGAAAGAAAAAAGGCAATAGAATTTAGTTTGAGTTTTAAACAAAATCTTTTCACTGGCAATCCTCACACTCCTAATTCATGAAGTTCCTGAGTATGGAAGAATTTTTGATATCTATCTATCTGTTTATATCATCACACCATCCAAATCAAAAAAAATTACGCAGGTTCTAAACAATTGGACTTACAAACTCGTTTCATTCATCTACATGATACTATGTCACATCAGTAGTAATTTTGCTAAAAATACAAAGTAGATTAATTACATAGTTCAACATAAATATGGTACCAAGTAGAATCCATATGTATTAGAAGAAAAGTAGGTACATGCTTATAGGCATCTCAAGACAAAAAAAAAAAAAAAAAACATACTTTTTTTTTCTCCATGTTAGATAGATCTGTCACCAGAAATTTGAAGAAACTTGTGAAACATTACCAAAAGGTAAAAGCACCACTACCTAAAACTAATAATCACATCTAACACTGAGATATTAAATAAAAAAGAGTTTTAAGGTCCACGATTCCCCTCATGAACCTACATCTCACATGTACACTTGCACTGGCTTGATGTGAAACGATGTCTATCTTTTCCAGCAGAAAATGGTTCTGATTTAAAAATGTACCCTTTCAGTTAAGTCATGTCACTGAAGTTTACATAATATCAATATTATGCGATTATGAAAAAAACAGTAAGCAACAAAATTACACAATTACTGGTGTAGTTTGGCAATGATTTCATCAGCAAACGACAATTCAGTGATGACTGGCTATCAAAATAAAAAAGGAAAAATAGTGAACTTCACCTGTATACTTTTCACACCAGCTCTGCAGAAGTATCTCTTGATCTCCAAGTCAATTTCACAGTTTCCAACAAAACTAAGAAAAAAAATATGGAGAATATTTCATTTTTATAGACTAAACTGCAATAGTGTTAGTTTTACTCTGCATATGGCAGCACTTTGCATCTGTCTACATATAAAAATGCATGCCAACATTAAAACAAAGTCAAGATAGTTAAAATAAAAAAAAAGACATGCCCCTCAAAATATCACCACTATCATCAAAACACTCAGAAATTAATACAAAAAAGTATGTTATCATCTCCAGAAGTATGCATAAGACAAAACACAGGTGTAGCCTTATTTGGGGGAAATAATAGACACACAATTCATATTCCATTTTAGAAAAGCTATTATGCAAGCCTCATTGACACTATGTGCTCCTAAACCCACTTTCACCTAGTGCAATCATGAGAAGCACTATACAGGGGCTGTTATTTTGCTACAAATCGAAAGTTGTCTGAATTATTCAAAGACTTGCTATAACAGTCATATTTACAAATTCAGTAAGCTGGACATGCCGAGCTGGATGAATTCGCTGAGCAATGCTTAAGCCAAAACAGAATCAAGCCCTTTCTGAAGAGGTAGAAAAGGCAACAAGAAGACTGCATACTAAAACAATGAAAGATCTCCCTTGAAGAGTTCTTGCATCCCATTTTGGGCAGTACCCCTTACTGGGTCAGAGGATTAAGACTGTGCACATACTGGCCTATATATCAGAGAGAGATTTGTAGAAGACTGTAAAATCCCCATCTATTTAGCCCATGTGATAAGGCTGAAAAAATAACAGCACAGCACACAGACTCAGGTTTTAGCTGCTGCATTCCCTGAGGCTACATACAGGTCAAAAGCATATCAGCAGAGAGCTGAGTGAATCTTCTAGAACTGCAGATGCTGTGAGTGTATTGGGTTTACACGGCAAGGGTTTGGGAGCATGAGACTGCAGGGGTGGCCTCTGAGCAGAGCCCAGCAGCTGCCCCATGTCAGATCAGAGCCAGTTTCAACCCACTCCAAAGGGATCTGTCAGTGGCTAGGCTAGAGCTGAGCCAATAAGCAAAGTTGTTTGCACCTCTGTGAGAACAGATTTAAGAAAGGGAAAAAAAACTGTACAACAGCAGCTGGGAGAGAGGGGTGAGAAGCAGCCCTGCAGACCCCAAGTGCAGCAGGAGGGCAGGAGGTGCTCTAGGCAGCAGCAGTTCCCCTGCAACCTGTGGAGAGTCCCCTGGTGGAGCAGGCTGTCCCCCTGCAGCCCATGGGTCCCACATGGAGCAGATCTCCACGATGCAGCCCCCCCATGGGTGGAGGAGCCCCCGGTGGAGCAGGTGGATGTGGCCTGGAGGAGGCTGTGGCCCATGGAGAGCCCCCGCAGGAGCAGGCCCTGGGCTGGAGCTGCAGCCCGTGGAGAGGAGCCCACACAGGAGCAGGGGGTCTGGGGGGAGCTGCCGCCTGTGGGGAACCCGTGCTGGAGCAGTTTGCTCCTGGGGGATGGACCCTGTGGTACAGAGCTGTGTGGGAGCAGTTCTTGAAGAGCTGCTGCCTGTAGGCAGCCCCCGCCGGCTCAGTTCAGGAAGGATGGCATCTTGTGGGAGGGACCTTGTGTGGAGCAGGGGCAGAGAGGGACCATGAGGGAGAAGCAGGATGAAGCCTCAGGGACTGACCGCAGCCCCTGGGCCACCAGCCAGGGCAGAGCAAGGCAAACAAGGTGGATGGGGATAGGTGTTTTTAGTTTTCTTCTAGTTCTCACTGTTCTATAGTCTGCTAGTTATAGGCAATACATTACATTATTTTCCCTACATGAGTCTATTCTGCCTGCAACAATAATTATTGAGTGATCTCCCTGTCCTTATCTCAACCCTTGACCCCATTTTTCATAATATTCACTCCCCTTCCTCACAGGGAAAGGGGGAGAAAGAGGCTGTGGTGGAGTTCAGCTGCCCAGCCAGGTAAAACCACCACAGTGAGGTATATTACGTCTAGAAACAAACTAATTCTGAGATTTAACAAGGAATGTAGGATGACAGCTTGTGACATTTCACAAGGAAATTAGTATTGTCAATGATTCTACAGAATGAGAGACAAGAACAAACTAGGAGCTGTACCTACTGGCTGGAGAAGAAGGCTACCTATGAAGATATGGGTTATAAGGAAAGGACAAATGAAATCTGAAAAGCTTCCTGAATAGGCTGCCTAATTAAAGAAAATGAAATAAGGAACTAAGAGAGGAGATAAAGCAGCTTAAGTGAGGCCAGACGCTGTTGAAAAGAGATTTTTCCTCTACAGGGGATCTTTTTCCAGATCCTGCAGTAGAAGCAAGGCTTCTGCAAGTTAAACTTCTGTCTCTTGGAGCAACTGCAAGATTTCCTATTCCCTTTTGAGCTTTAATTCAATCATCTAGCACTACTATTCCTCAATGTCTTGTAGTAATTGGGTGAATTTTTATTTTTATATTTTTAATCTGCTATCTGCTAATAAAAACAGGTAGGTAGTTTACTGTTCTTCCAAGCTAATCCTTAGAAGCCCAAACAACTATAAACAAAAGCATGAGAACAGTGTTGTGTTATTAAAAGCTGCATCAAGATCAATTGCTTGAGAAATCCTAGAACTGATACACTTCAGTCCTGAAAGCTGAATTGGTTAGTTTTATAACCTAACTGTGGAAACTTTTTTTGTTTTAAATAATATTTGCAGAGGTTACAAATTGATACTGGTGGGACTTCATATGCCGAATAGCTCTGCTGAATTACATTTTCAAGTTTGAAATCTTTTCCTTACTATTGATTGTCATGTAAGGTATGCTAGTTGCAGAACTGTATTAATTTTGAATTCTCAAAAGGCTTCTTATTTTCCAGTAACTTGTACAGTGAAAAACTGTTCAGACATTTTTAGGAGTCTGGTGAAATCTTATTATGGAAATGTCTGGGAAATAACAAAAAAATGGAGTTGCTCTTCTCATGGCTTAAAGATCAACTCAAGATAAAATAAATTACTCTCACAACATAAGCAGGAGGGTAGGACCCCGCCCCTTTCCCCCAACAACCAACAGGTGCAATCAAAAGAAAACAAAACGAAGAGTTACTGCATTCATGACATCCTTTATTCAAAGCATCTGCAGTCTCCTGCGCTCCATGTGTGATGATGCCATCTATGTGAAGTCAAACAAATGCAAATCTTATCAAGCCTTTAAACAGAAGTAAACAATAGTTCCAAAACATTCTTGTAATGTGCAACATTGGGATTTATTTCAGACTATTTTAAGTGTCCAGTTTGGGGAACTGGTAGATGACATAATGACAGGGGTCTATATGAAAGGAAAGTGACTACTGCTTTCTCTGGAAAGAATGTAGAGTGACTGTACAGTTTAAAAATAGGTTTAAATTTTTTAATTCACAATTTAAAACAATGTAATTTCTATCTATATCTTTCTATCTATATAAAATTATATGACAACATGATAATGAGAGCAGAAAGGTTAACTCAAGTTATTTGTGTAATGAACACTGGGTATTAATACGTTCATTTGAAAAATCCACAATAACATGGCTACCAACTGAAGTAAAAGAATAATAAACTGCAGTTGAGGATCCAAAGTCAACAACTTTCAACCCTGTAATAAAGTTAAAGATGACATTATCTGCTAAGATACTTGGCTGGGTCCATCAACAGTCAATGTAGTACAGAATATTCCACTGTAACATAACATACAACTTGAAGACTCATTTAGTAAGCAAATTCTGTACATTCAGATCATAATATCTGAGAAATGTGTGTGACCCCTGTACAGATCACAGAGATAGATTACTATTTAATGAGGACAGTATTGTATGAATACAGGAACAGCTGTATTCAATCAGACCAGAAGCATGTGGTCAATGTAGCCAACAGGAGATATCCAGAGAAAAAAAAATAAAATAACTAAGAATAGCACTATTTCCCAGATTACGGTGATCTGTGATTCTGTATTTGGGACTATCTTCATTATTTTTAGAAGGTCTCCATTTGTTTTTTAGAAGGTCTCCATATTATTTAATAGTTAGTTTAGTTAAATTCTAACTAAATAGTTTTTAAATGGTTAAACTTTTTTGCAAATGTGATCCTGGTATTTAATTTTTACAAATTTTTAGGAAAGAGAAAACTGAAGAATTTTTTCTTTCAGTACTACTAACAGCATCCATCCAATGAAACACTCTCTAGAAAAAATCCTGCTTGTATTTTGTCCAACACCACCTAGCCCTGATGTGGATAGCTCTTCTTCCTACAGATACAAAGTGATTCAACTCAAAGACATTGGCCCCTGCTTGCAGAGGTCATCAGCCTCCCAGCTCTAAAATCCAGGAAAGTATGCAGCAGCCAATTTAGATCTTAGCGCTCTGAGGCCCATCTTAGATAAAGAAGCCTATAATCTTCAACATAGTTGGGATTTAGATAAATCAAAATTAAGAATAACCAAGTTCAAAGTTCAGAACTGATTTTGGAAAACAGGCTGAGAGGACCAATCATCCTGCTGGTTACTGCCAGGGAAGCAGAAAGAAATGCAGAAGGCAGTTGGATGGATTATCAACTGACTGACAAACATGGTCTTTCCACAAGCTACAAAAAGGCAAAAGTAGTCACTGTAAGATATATCTATGACTGCTAAATACACAAATGCTGCTGGATTCACGGGGTATGCTTTCAAAAAACTCTGTAACTGCAGATACAGTGTTGAGAAAGACTTTGGCAAGCACTGGCTAGATCTATTTATAAACCTATATAAAAGGGGTCACGAGGAAAGGGCAAAGAAACCTGAAGCTGCTGAGCATTATATAATACATAGATTTACTTCAGTTGGTGGTATGAGCACAAGTTACTTCAGCAGCTATCATTCTGTTTATCAGAGTGTGTTTATAAAGAATCTAAGTAACTCAGAAAAGACAAAAATACCTGAACATCTTATATCTGAAATTTTAGATTAGACTAAACCCGATGGCAAAGTTTTATTGCATTAAAAATATACAAAAAAAAAAAAAAACACACAAAAAGGTCATGCTTTAGCTCTAGGAAGTTTTTGTTTTTAATTAAAAAATGTTAGTTTAGTGGTACAGTCACACACTGAGTTGATACACTACTTCCCCCAAATTAATTCTATTTACAGCATGCAGTTCCTTCCTCCATTCATATGCAATCAATTAGAGGTAACTATATTTGTGCACCAAAACAATTATTTTCCTCTCACCCCAGCATAACTGCCCAATCAAACAAGGCACGTATTCTAAAGTGTGGACGCAGCTGCAATATGAAAATAAAGACTACCTGATTTGAAGATCCAAAATGATCTGCCTTTTGTCCACATTTTCAGTGTACACTTTTACACCATTTATCCTCAGCGGCTGAAAAAAATGAAGCAAATTAAAGTTGGATGCTTCTGCTGTATACATCATATCAAACTCTTAAATTAGAAATAAAGGCGAATAAACAAATATTCATGTCCAAAGGTAAACAAGTTAGACATTTATTATAAGCATTATTAAAAGGCATTAAGCATTATTAAAGAAGCAACTCTATCAGTTCAGCTCTAAACAATCAAAAGCATCCACTCAATCACAACCCTTCTGGCAATTAGACTGGGTTTAGACTGCTAGATTTCAAGATTTACCAAAGATTTATTATCAAGCTTCTATTCTCCTTCCTTCCCCCCCAGTCAATACACATCTGATTTCTCTATACTAGAGCACATCTGACACTCAGACAAAGCAATCTGTCACCTCCCTGTGCAACTAAACAACTACTCCTTGGGGGAATTTGGTCAGAATGGATGGAAAATAGTCCATAATCTCCACAAAAAAAAAAAAAAAAAGAAAAAAAAAGTGAAGTACTTTGTGCGCCTTTTTAAAAAAATAATCTCAAAAAGTAAAATTTTGGTTCACACAAGTACGAATAAGTACTGCCCAACCTATTGCAAATAATGTGAACTTATTCTTAGCTTGGACTGGTCAAACAGGCTCTTCTACAGGCATGTGAGAGTTATATACCACGACCCTTTCTTTCATGGGAATGAACAGCAGGTGAACACACCTATCTGTTCCCTGAAATTCTTATATGCAGCCCTGGAAAAAGCTGAGCCAGCAGCCTTGTGACTGGACTCCATACATCACATGCTGAAAAGCAATTTTGTTAAAAGACAAGGTAACTGCACTTGGATCTTCTGATAAGAAAAGGATATAGTGTTTCCTGCTCACTTAATGAACAGTATTAAAATCACATTGCTATGTGCTCTTCACATGACTAGGAATTACTTTACTTTGAGTCTTCCCTCTTATTCTCCAGCAGATTTCTACGGAAGACACAGCAGGGAAAAGAACCCCAAACAGTGTTAAAAAAAGCCTAACACATTTTTATTTTAATGTTACAACAGAAACCAGAATCAGGCTTACCACCAAGTGTCATCGAGAAATGGTTTTGTGTAGATTTAAACAAGATACATGAAAATGGTACATAAAGTAGAGCCTCTTAAACTTCAGCAGAAACTGACCTGATGACCAATATCAATCTTTGTAAAACTAAAGGTGCTGAGGTGGTTGTTTGCTCCTCTTACTGCTGGTTCTATGGTCTCCCGGAAGAGCTTCTCAATAAATTGGCAGATAAAAGGCCACATCTGTTTTACAGTCTAAGGAAACAAAAAAAAAAAAAAGGAAAACTCTACATTGAACACAACTTCAAACATAATCAAAAGTATTTTTAAAGGCTGATGTTAAGAAATGTTTTGAACACACCAGATCTCTAGACAGTTCATTACAGACATAAGAAGTGCTAACTTTTAACATACATTTACATATACTTAACATACAAAAAAGCTATCTGGACTTATCTCAATTATTGTGTGTTTTACACACCTGCACAAGCCAACCACAGGAAGAGGAAAGAACGTAATATTGAGAAATCTTGCCTTTTATCATATTAATTCAATGCAGTCTGCACATGCTGAACACTAGAAAGAAGGGTGATGAGGGTTACGTCTATTTGCATTATTTGTTATTTTCTAACTTGTTCTTCTTTGCTCTTTGAATGAAAAGTATTTTAAAATACCCAAGCTACATAGATCTGTACCTTCTATTATTACAGTTACAAATCAAAACTGCAAAATTGGTTTATTTTTAGATTGTAGGTCAGGAACCTACAGTAACTGGAAAGCATCCCAGACAAAGAGAATATAAAAAACTGTGTTTACAGCTGGTATGACTTCCATGCAATTATAGCTGTCATTATTTTAATGTCATCTAAAGTCATTGTCCAAAAATCACACGCAATCTCAACATCATGAAAATAGAATCATGATAGATTACGTCTCATGGCTGACTGAATCAACAAGTAGAAACTTCAAATGTATACAGAGCATAGAAAGTTAAAACAATCCTGTTCTCAGATTCTTCCCCGCTGTTTTATTTATTTATTTATTTTAACTCAGATCCTCCTATCTCCTCCACTATGTGGTTTTTTTTGGTTTTTTTTTTTTTGAATGCAGTGCTAATTACTACCCTTACCTTGTTGAGCCATTCTGCTCTCTCTGTATCTGGAAAATGGACCTAAAAAAATGAAAAAAATGAAAAATTAATACAAATATAAAACATGTTTTAGTTAATCATGTCCAGTCATTTATAATACAGAAAAGTTTATTGATCTTCATATGAGCGGTATATATTAGCAAACAACACATTAAGTACTCAGCATTCTTGACAAGAATATTAGAATTCAAGGAAATAAAATATGAGTTCATTTTTGAACTACATAAGTGCAAGTCCAAGAATATATTTAATAGTGACATCTGGAATAATGTATTGCTTTAACACTAGAAACAAACTAAAAAAAATAAGCATAGCTGACACAGCTAGTCCAAGATGTCAACAAAATTTACCTCTCATGTTTCAAGGGTTTCTAAGATTACATACATGACTGCAAAGTTTTTGACTGCACTTCTTCCATTTGTTCCAGATCTTTTGCAATATCAATAAATTATGGTTAGAAATATTTATTCAGTGAAGCTGAAGCTCAGGTACACGGATGGAAGTTCTACCAACAGCCCTCCATTTTCACTAATTTATTTTTTTAAGCCACTGCAGAAGTCAGCGAGAGAAAAGAGAATGATGAGATATAGTGGATGAAAGCACCCATCACAACATAAAATGCCAATTAAAAGCTGGAAAAACAACTGCAGCTTTCTAGACACAGAAGGAAAGCATGGTTAGTAGCCTTACATACTCCACATACAAAAGACAGGTAAAAAATTGAAGTAGTTCAGCTGAAGCAGACCTATGCTTTTTTTTTTTTTAAGCTGTGAACAGCTCCAATGACAGGATGCAGATCACACTTGTGAAGCACAAAAAGCCTCTGAGCACACGAAAAAACTGTGACCTACATCTACCAACTTTTGCGAAGCAATGTCTCTGCTTAACTGATCTGCAAAGTCTTCATCTCTTCATAGCACAGCAGACTGTACTACTGGTTTTAACAGCAATGCCTACTGGTTATTTTTATTACATACACATCTCAAATGAGAACAGTAAGTTAGATACACACTTCTACAACTAAAGTTTAAAGTACCAGAATTTGAAAGCAAGCCCCCTTAATAATTTGAGTTAAATTTTTATTGAATTCTTGCATTAATGATGAGCACCACCATATTCTTGAGTATGCTCAAGGTATCTTCAGAGCACTCCTTAATTTCTACTAACCACACGTGTTTTAGCTCTGCTGGAGGATTAGACCCTGAATCAATATTGTCAGTTATTTCTCTAAACAACTTTTTACAAGTGTATCACAGATCTACCAAACCCACTACAAGTGGCACAAGAATGATCAACAGCATCTGCTTCTGACTGCAACAACCCTCATCAGCAGGATTTATTTTTATAAGAAATTCTATCCCTTAGTGATAGCAAAAAAAAACAAACAATTATTAAAAGTTGAGTGGTTTCAGAACCGTATTATCACTTCTTTTTATTTGGAATTAAATTCCTAGAAAATTATGGTGAGTAGGATGTCAGAAGTCTGTATTTAGAGGATGTTTCTTGCTTTCTTAGAAAAGTACTTTACATTTTCACATTTTCAATGACTTGGTTACCATACGTACATGAAATTACAGTTGAATGAAGATTATGCCCAACTTTTGTCTCCCAGGATTCTCGAGTTGCTTCCAGTGGTCAAAAAGTCAAAGGAAGAAAAAGAACCAACACTGCACCAGTCCTACTGCTAATAAGCAACATTTTGGTGTCTTTCCTAAAACATTTGCCTGCTGAATCTGCGGACAGCAAATGTGCTAATTTGCAGTAATTACTCATCTCTGAAGCATGATGTTGGACCCCCACATGTAATTCATTCCAATTTGCTGCCCAGATTTAAGGTTAAAGCACAGGCCACACAAAGGATGCTACGCACACAGCTGACACTCAACGCACCTGCGATAGAGGCAGCAGCATCTTCCTCTTGTACCCACCAAGCACCCTTCCCTTTCTGTCCTGAATTACACAAAATAACAGTTTTGGAAGGAACCAAGAGGCCACTGACACAAATTTATTATTTTGGAATTTTCTTTATCTACATTACAGGCTTTGTTACACCTTAACAAGGCTCAACTCTTAATTTTTGACATATTAATAGTTACTTGTCCTTTAGCATGCAACACCCATTGTGCTCCTACTGCTTAGGTTAGGACTACATAAACCCAGTTTACTCCTACAGCTGCACAAGTTAAAGGGGAACAAACTGAGTTTTAAAGCACAAAGAATAATATTGATGCCTTAGATATAATTCTTAGTTCTAAGCCAGAGAATATCAACATAAACCAATCATTTTTTTCATGAACAGTGTATTATAGCAACGTAGAAAAAAAAAAAAAGAGCAATAAAAGCAATTCAGAATTGTGGTGTGTTTTTTTGTTTTGTTTTTTGTTTTAAAAAAACTATCCTATGATGTTGTAGCTATTTTTTCCCTCCTTGTATTTTACCTCAACGATTACAGGTAGAAATTTAGACTCCAGTAAAAATAATGTGTTTTATTAGCTACATTTAAAAGATGCCTGTCTGAGTCCACATTACTTCATTTATATCTGGTTCCTTCCATCTGTACAGCACTTAATTATTTGTTGCTCCAGCTGAAGATCCAAGCAAAAGACGCTTGCCTAGTCACATCTAGTTTTATTACCTGGTCACACAACATAACCAAGATCCTTTATATAGTTACAATATAACTAAGTATTCTTGAACAGCTTTCCAGTTACTTAAAAAAAATGTCTCTCCAATGAGATACCCATCCCTTCTGCTTACTTTGGAAAGTTAAACTGCAAACAAAAACCCTTCTGTATCAAAACCATGGCTGTCCAGATTAAACATTAAAACTTAAAAGGTATCCCAACTTGTCTTCATAGGTCCTTCATGCATCATCAGTGGAGGGAGAGCATCCTAAAGGATGCTCAGAACAGAAGTGCAACTTTGCTGCTTTAAAACACCTCCTGAAAGTACAGCATAAGCAGTTACTTAACTTAGCCTAAAGCTAAATGGCATGGAAAAAATACTAAAATTATGTGAACCTTTGAATTATAACTGTCAGATTAGTTTGTCTAAGCTCATTGCACTTTCAACTCAAATTGACTGGAGAAATTTGGTAAAAGAATCAAAGAAAAGGAATCCCAGCACCGAGAGAATTAAAAGTATAATATATAATATAATATAATCTGCTGCTGCTCCACACAACATGAAAATACTGCTGCTCCACACAACATGAAAATACTGCTGCTCCTCAAACATAGACTGGGAACAACCACTCTTTTCCAATGAGAAGTAAAGTAATTCTAAGTAAATTTAAAGTAAAATGAGGGTGAGCTGGAAGGCAGAGCAGCCGGGTCTGCCTCCTCTGACACTGTCTGTCTCCATCTTCTCTTCCCAGTAATTCACCTCCACTGTTATTCTGGAAATTTTATCTTTTTCAACCCCAGAAATGCTGCAGCTCCCTTATCTTCTGAATTACAAGGAAAAAAAAACTCACTAAACATCCACTGTTGCAGAACTGCTGGAGTCAGTATTCCTGAAAGAAGCTGAAATAGTTAATAATTAGTGTTCTTGAAAGCACTGCAATTAACCACAGGCACTTGCTGACTAAATTAACAAACAACTGCTGTTTCCATTACTTTCTGGCAATCACAGTTTGTTGCTGTTCAGCATGCTTTGGCATGGATTCTGTGTTTGCAGTCTTAAATATATCAAAATTACTAGCCTTTGCACAGCAAAATTCATATTCAGTATTATAAATGCTGTAAGCTGTCAGTCTGGGAATTAGGCAAGGACCCTTGAAACAACTTTATTGAGAATCGTTGGGCGTGTGTTGCATATGGAAAGGCTTTCAACAGAAACATCTGGGAGATCCAGAAGCCGGCTGAATATAGGAAATCAGTTCTGTCATATACACTGTCACAGCCCACAGGGTACTCCTCAGAACTCTAATTACAAAGGCCTATGTAAATCAGTAAGACTAACCACATCCTAAAACTAAAACCTATGTAAAGTAAGCAGCACAGGTTTTGACAGTAATTGCCTGTACCCAAAACTCAAACATCTGAAAATCTAAAGGAGTGGGGGAAGGGCCCTAGGATCGATTGCTATGGCTCTCTGAGCATTGTAAAAACCTGAAAGTAAAGTGGAAATATTAGAAAAATGGAAACTTATCTAAATGGAGGAAGCAGTCACAATGCCAAGCAAGGTTAAGGATTGTATTTATTTATAAACTGGAATGTGAGCCATTGAAATGCTTGGACAACAAGTTGGAAAACAAAATAAACCTATTAAAAAAAAAAAAAAAAAAAGAATTACATGCCCTTTGAGTCAGCTCTGCACCTATGAGATGAGAGCGGGATTAGACACACATACTTGGTATCACATCAAATGTTCCTACCACGTCCTACCGGCACAAACATCGTCATCCCACGTGAGCTGCTGCTGTCAATTCAGCAAGTCCTAGGAGCTGCCACAACAAGCTACAGAGCTCTGCTCAGCACAAGCTTTCCAGTGCAACGCCTGCTGTGTTGTTCCCTGGAGTCGGAGCGAGCACCAAGGTGAAGAAGTAATCCTTTCAACAACGTGGCAATTACACACAAAAGAGGTTGGCTCTAGTAGAAAGGCTGAAACAGATTTTCAATGCTTTTGGATTTAAATAGTAACACGGTAAAGCTACTATAACAAAAGTGATATCCCTCAAATATTGGAACTGAACTTATACCTTAAATGGTGTAAGAAAGTTGCATTGCACTGCAGCCTCCTGTCACCTTTGCTCCTCTCCTCTTCTTCTTAATGTCTAAGTAAAGTCCTAATGTTGGCCCGCTTAAGATTGAAATTAACAGTAGCTCACAGAGATGGGATAAATATCCTGATAGTTCCTAATGGAAACTTTCTGACATTTATTTCTGCGTATTATATCTGGAAAACAAGGAAAACGATTAGCAGTGTATAGGCTGGTTTTGTGGCATAAAACAAGTCTTCCTAAAATGCTGCAAGAGGCTGCAGCACAGTTGTTGCTACCTATACACACACTGCTGAAT